CTCGCCACTGGCTTCTATTCTGAGCCATATCCGATAACGTCTCTAGCCACTGTGTTGCACCATCTCTCGGACCCCAACCAGGGAGTCGTGAAGGACCAACAGAAGCTAGCCCTTTGCAGCTCTCTTTCATGCCACGACACCATGTCATACACTGACCTCCTCTCCGCTTTCTCCAACCAGTCCCAGAGTCGGCAAACAATGCACGACATGGAATTCTCTGGGACGACATTCGTAAAACATGTCCGAGCCACCGAAGTCGGTGTTTCAAGATGGTGACACCAATTGAATTATCGTCTCTGCGCCCGAACACACGATGCCGAACCTCTGCATTACTAACATGGTGTTGCCACTGGATGTCAGCAATCCTTCGGAGACAACGATGATCGAACACAGAGAGACGTCTAACATCCTCAACTCGGAGAGGCCAGGTTTCACAAGCATAGAGCAAAACTGCTCTCACCGACACGTTGTAGATCCGACCTTTTACAGACAGACTAACATCACGAAGGCGCCAAAGATGGCCCAGATTGGCATAAGCCGCTCTGGCTTTCATTATACGTGCATCAATCTCATCACTCACGCCACCACCAGCACTTATATAGCTACCTAGATACACGAACTTCTCAACTACTTCGATCTCCTCACCATCCAGGGTGAGTACAGGATGAAAATCCTGCCAGTCTTGTAGGAGTACTTTGGACTTGGAGGGTGCAAAGCACATGCCGTACCTGCGGACACTGATTGTCAACTGATTAAGTGCTGATTGCATGCCTTGGGCATTATCGCACAGTAAGACAATATCATCCGCATACTCGAGGTCGATAAGTCGTTCTCCAGGCAACATATCCACACCGCCATTACTTACATCCATCAGAGCTGTTTCCAGGATGTCGTCGATGGCAAAGTTGAAGAGGAATGGTGAGATCGGGCAACCCTGCCTAACCCCACTGCTCGAATGGAACAAGGGAGAAAGGTGGTTGTATGCCCTCACTCTGCCTGAGGTGTTCGTATACAGGGCCTTTAAGATGTTAATGAACTTCTCAGGCACACCCTTCTTCAATAGACAATCCCAGAGAACAGTCCTGTCCAACGAATCGAAGGCCGCCCTGATATCAAGAAACACTACGATTGTTGGCCTGCGATAAGTATGACAGTGTTCTTACATTTGGCGGAGGGTGAAGATGTGATCAATGCATCCTCGACCAGAACGAAAACCGGCCTGCTCCTCGCGAGTCAATCGTTCTCGGGTTTTAAACAACCTACGAAGAATGATAGAAGCCAATAGTTTGGACGCAATCGAAAGTAGACTTATCCCCCGGTAGTTATTGCAGGAACAACGTGAACCCTTTTTAAAGATAGGGACGACTATTGACTCATTCCAAGATGTTGGAACACTTTCTTGCTCCCAAACCTTTCCAAACAACGCAGTCAGTTCCTTAGCCAGAAAGTCACCACCATCTTTAAAAAGAGCCGGAGGTAAGTCATCTGGACCCGGTGATTTATAACGTTTCAAGAGTTGGAGTTCCTTGAGGACTTCCGCCTCGTTTGGTGGATCAGTCGTCACCGGCCACGGGGGGCAGGACAAACTGGTTGATGTTGCCGGAGCAGCAGGCCAGTTGAACTGCCCTTCGAAAAATTCCGCCCATCGTCCAAGACGTCGACAGATGTTAGTGATTGGCATCCCGTCATCCTCGTAGATTGTTTCACTCACACCAGACTTCTTGCTGCCAGTGGCTCGGATGAGTTGGAAGAGCTTCCGGCAGTTACCAGGTGCAGCTGCTGCTTCCATCTCATTAGCACGCTCCGACCACCAGGCTTCCCGGTCCTTACGCAAGCTTTGCCCAATTTCATTACGTAACAGCCTTCGTTTGTGGTCAAACTCACGGTCACCCGGAGTAGACCGACGGGCTTCCATCAGTTGTAAGGAGCCAGAAGAAACCCAGTGCTTATAAGTGGAACGTTTCGCGAAGCCGCAAGCGGCTTTACTCGCCATTTTCATGGCGTCGTGAAGATGCAACCAATGCTCGTCTATACTTTTCGGTGGGGTGGTAGCTAGCCTAGAGGCTAGCTCCGCTCGATACTTACTTATAACAGATGTTGCAGCCAGTTTACTAACATCGGTCCGTTGGTGGTGGCCAATCCTTCGGCCACTGAAAAGTAAGGTGAGATTGGCGCAGACCAGGGCATGATCAGACTCCAGATAGGTACTCCAAAAGGAGCGGCAGTCTTGTACACCACCACGCCAGCGGTAGCTGATCGCCATGTGATCAATCTGAGTCCAGGCTTGAGATGCAGTGGGAGGACGCCAGGTGGCACACCGGCGATGACTGTGCCGGAAGTTAGTGCTGGCCAGAAACAGGTTGTGGTCTGTGCACAGTTGCAGCAAACGGTCCCCGTTATCTGTCCGGCGACCAACAAGTCCCCATCGGCCACCTAGACGACTCTCTTCTGTGCCTAGACGCCCGACCTGTGCATTCAAGTCTCCGGCTAGTACTACAATATCTGTCGAACGCGCTTTCCGGAGAAGAACTGTTAACTGATGGTAAAACTCATCCTTGATTGCATCCGGGCTGCAATCTGTCGGGGCATAGGCGGAGATGACGAAAAGACACCGTTTCTCACACCGATTTCTTCTCACTTTGATGGAACTTTCTAATCTGACAGCACATAACCGACTGTTAATGGGGATCCAGTCGATTAGTGGTGCCTCAGCTCTAGCGCTTAGTGCGACACCAACGCCAGCAAGACCAGACGAAGATGCCTCAGAGTCCCCGGATAAGCGCACATGAAACGAGCTTTTCGAAGCGACAGATGGAGAGCGAATTTGTAGTACTTCACTAGAGTCTTGAATACGGGTCTCGGATAGACAACAAACATCAACGTTAAGACCTTCCAAAGACATAGCCAACCCTATCTGTTGTCCGATCTGCATTAGTGTGCGAACGTTGAAGTAAGCCAGCTTGAACGACGTACGTGGTTTCAGAAAGACTGCTTCAGTATTCATTATCGGTGGAACCATTCACTTTCAACCAGACAGTGACTGGAGATCGTTTAGATAGGACAGATTTTCCACCATGGGCGAGCTGCTGCATAAGTTGGAAAGGAAGGATACACAATTTGGGAATAAAGGGAGTGAAAAAGCGACGTAGTAAATAATAGCAATAATAATGATAGTAATAACAATAATAATAATAATAATAATAATAATAATAATAATAATAATGGTAATAATAATAATGTAAATTGTCTTTCTTCTACTAGGAACGAGAGCAGTGTAGTTAGTGTAGTGCGTCATTTCATGTCATTTGTGTGTGGGCTGTGATACTGCCCGGGTGCCCAAACCGAAGCAGGTGGTTTTCTTAGGGGGCCACACCCCGAGCCTTTGACCTAAAGGTCTGATCCACAAGGCAGTGGAGCATCGTAAGGAGATGCAGTCCCATGGTAGCTGTTGACCAGCAGAAGGTTCATTCGCCATTCGTTCTATCAGGATACTGGAGCCCATGTAGAGCATTGGTTTGGAATGAGTGTTTTCCAACTCCCCTAGGTGGACCCTCCGTGTCCACCGACCCGGTTAAAGCGCCGGACATTCGCTTTTCGTCCTCTCACATTCGTGAACAACACCGCTGCCACGAGAAGGCATTGAGTAGGACTTCCCTGACAGAGGCTATATATTCGCTGGCCATGTGAGAGCATTTCGAGAGGGAGAGTGGACTCTCCCCACTCTCGGCCGTACCAGGGCATTTGGGGGGGGGAATAAAGTACTAAAGGTTACATTTGAATTACAATAGCTTTGAACCAAGAAGGGGTATGAGAGTGAATCATACACCAAACGAAATCTTATGGTCTGTTGAATAAACTAGGAACAAAAGTTAATGCAAGTGTTTTACAATGTTATGTCGGCTTCTAGCGAACTCCAACAGAGCCTCCAGAGGCTCAAAAAGAGTCCCAACCAATCAGAGTACGACAGAACATTCTGGAGTTCCAACGTGGCATGCTACCATTGGTCAGTAGCAATTTATGTCGTTAATTGGATTGGCTGAATTAGGATGTTGATTTAAATTAAGCAAACATCTATAAATACCTACGATTTTCTGTACAAAGATGATCTTTGCAGTAAAGGTTTTCTCTGTTACTCGTATCTTCTCTCTGGTCTTCAAGTCTCTAAGTAGTGCTAGCCTGTGGGTTATCCGAGTAGCCTAAGATCTGAATAAAGCGTTCAACCTACGAGACATAACATACAAACTTTGAATTAACTGAAATAACGTCCCCCAAAATAGCTTCCGTAATTTGTTATAGCTTCTTTTTTCTCTGTTCACGTCAGATACTTACAAACCAAGGAGTCATTATTTGCGTTTCTTATGAAGACCAAATTAATGTTCTACGATTTCATCAATAGCTGAAACCGATGTTTATAAATTTTTAAAGTAAAACTAGATCCAGTTATCGATACCCTTGCACTGTTTTGACCGTATATATATGTTTGAGAATTCTTTTTATTTAATAAAGAAAGGACAAAGCAGAACTTTATATAAGGCGGTCCATTTAAGTTGTCCCACTTATTAATAACAGAGTGATAAGAACCAGAGTCATTAAAATAAGTAAAAGAAAATATATGGTTAGATATTGAGAAAGTGACTTATACGACCGAATCCTTGTCAAAAGCTTCAATGTAAATTAATTTACAATATCTTGTAAGAAATATAACTTGGATGCGTTTTACTTTGGTTATTGTACTCAAAGAAAATCATGTTTTATTCCCTAATTTCATACTCTTTTCGTATAGAAATTCTGGATGATAAGGCAATATCTGAACCAAATAGACAATTTCTAGAAAATTGGAACCAGTATAAGAGTTTTAATCTTGAATTATCAAGTAAGTTAGGTTCATTAAGTTCATTACTGATTTATCTATGCAAACTCACATAAAAGATTCTCACTGATTCCTGATAGCTGATGAGCCTCGTAAAGTTGACCATAATCACACAACACCTGGTACACTAGTACATTAATCCAAGCCGATACATTTACATAGATATGCCTTTAATAAATGACGTATTAGAAAAGATTAACTGCCTTAAAATTAATAACTTGTGGATATATTCCTCTCTTATTTCTGTCTCAACTCGTATTATCTTCCAGCTGATTTTTTCTTCTTACGCTTTTGGAAATTTAGTTTGGTCAGCGAGACTAAACCATATGGACGACCTTTGAACGAATCTTAAATGACCTTGAGAAATATTAGCCAATCAGAAGACAGTATACAGTAAAAATATATTATAGAAAACCCAAAAATTAAAGGGAATACTGTTCTTTTACATGACTCAAAAACTTATCAAGGTTAGATTTAGGTTCAAAAGTTCTAAAATCATAGTGCATCCGGTACAGGAACTCATCCATGTGGCTCCATAGTAGTCGAGCTCTGAAACAATGATAAGGTCTCAAAATTCTTTTAGCCTCGACCCCCTTAAGGTTTAGGGTTAAGGATGAGACTATAAATTATGGACGACATTTGAGCGACGCTAGGGTGACTCTGAGAGTGTCAACATAATAACTAAGACTAAATAAGGTTATAAACCTGTGTGAAGAATTCAAATTATGCTTTACAGCTCATGGTTAAGGTTAGGAATTATACTTAGGGTTTTCATCACGAACTGACATCAGCTATAATGCCAAAACTCTATTTATACAAATGGATGATTGCATTTCGCGCCAAAATCTTATGATCATTTCTCTTGTAGACGCTGAATTATCACGTGTTCTCTAAAATCCGTTGTAAACCGACTGTGCGTAAGCATCAGGTACCGAACTTAGCGCCGTGACCTTAAAAACCCGCGAAAGCTTCTGGTTGGCTCGTCCATATAGTTTAGTCTCGCCGTTTGATCCTCTTCTGTATAAAGCTTTCTTTAACGAAGTTTACTTACATATTATAGGTTCGTCGTTTCTCGAAACAAGATAAATAATGAACACATGTTCTCTAAGTCAATTGAGCGATGATAGAGAAGATTCGTTGCTCAGGTGGACTATTCTGATAGTGTTTCCTTTTCTGAGCTGGATGGTTTAGTCATAATTAGTTAATAAATTGGGTCCATTTTAATGTGTACATTAATTGGTGATTGAACTAAGTCCAAAACTCCTGAGAATTCTATGATATTCTTTATATTTATTCTATCGAAAATCTCAACATTTTCCCAGCCGAACTTGTGTCCACGTTCATTGATATTGGCCTTTGACATCTTGTTGGCGTTCATGAAGACGAAAATAGAGAGATGCCCACTTTTTCATATGTAGTGTTTCAGTTGAAACAGTTTGTTTTGTAGATAATGTTCGGATTTTTTTTGTCATTTCGTCTTTTGGTTTTCGTAAAATTAATTGAAAGGATGTTTTTGTTTATGTACCAAATCTATTCCAAACAGTCTCAATAATCTTGTTGTAATCTCTGATATTTTTTTACAAATGATAGGATGATCCGTTTGTTGGTTTCTGTGTTTGATTCCGGCTTTGCTAATGAGTTTGTTTGGTATTTTTCAATGAACTTGCTTAGATAACCGCTCCTTAAAAAAATAGTCACCAAATATTTTTCTCCACTATTCCATTGTATGTTGTAGTGTGGTTTTGCTCCCCTGAATGAAGTTTGTGCTCAGTTGGTTTTGTGGATCTTTGCTACTGTAGTTAATAACATGTTCTGTGTAGTCCCGTTGCTATACCTTTTGCTTGCTCGTAGTTTTTACTGTTGAACTGGAAGTACATTGTTAAGTATAAATCAATCAGTCCTAGTAGACTTTGGCTTTGAAGCTTCGTGTACTTTGAAAGTTTTGCGTCACTTCTGAGAAGAAACGTTAAGGTGTCATCTGTTAATTTTGGTTTAACCAAGGCTAATAAGGCTGCAACGTTGAAGGATGTCATCATTTCACCGTCGTTGATTTGAATCTCCTTAATACTTTCCAAAAAATTGCATATGAAATTAAGTTGATAGATCAGATGAAATCAACAAATATCGCAATGTTCTTGAAATTCCTCTCGATAGGTAGTACGCTTAGGTTCCAGGGAGTTGGTACTGCAGGATACAGTTTGACTTTTGGTTTGCATAGTTTCGATCTGCCATAGAATCAAGGGGAAATGTTCCGTTAAATTCGATTCACCACTGATCTTGTTTTGATATTTGTTTCGCTTTAGTAAGCTTGTTTAAATTCCTAGGGACCTAGTTGTCTAGCTTTTTGATTGAATTGGTGTCCATCAATTTGTTTAGGCGGATCAGTCATTATAGTACACTAGGTTCTATCGGTCACCTAACTGTAGTTATCGGTGAACACCGTGCATCGATTGGTTACTCTTTATGAGACTACATAGGGCGAAATAGGACTACAATAAATAGTGAAGATAGCTTAAATACTCATGTTCTATATAATCAAGGTTAGAACCTAAAAACCTTTTGAAGGTTATGTAAGAGGCAATTTCCTACAGGTGCAACTTTAAGCTATTCCCTAGACGCTCGAACACAGCGTCTCGGTTTGTCCAAAGTCAGAACAAGTATCTATTTGGCCTAATAAACTTTATCTGTTTCTAAAACGTAAATTAACAACGTTAATGTTAGGATATTCACAGGAATATCCCAAAAATTATCTCGAATGTAAAGTGTTGTCCGAGCTATGACTTTCACGTGTCGTTTTCCTATTGGTCAATTTTGAGTTGTCCTAATTATAACCTTTACGTGTCCTTCCTTTCCATTGGTTACCGTTAATGGTCATCTTAACTGTATAAATATGCCTTGTCTGTAAACCATTTTTGACCTGCTTCTGAACCCATAAACAATTCTTATTTAACGGCTGTGTTCTGATTTACTGGAGGTTGGGGGAACAGTATTGGGGTCGAACTAGGATATCTGAATTTGGTCAACCGGTAGAATTTCGTGTAGTATTATCGCAATACGCAATAATTTAGCGACGTAACAGTTAGTATACAAATAAACAGTACAGTCTATTACATAGGAAAAAGGAGAGGCATAAATAGCATGCCGAACAGTAACTAGAGGATAGAAAAAATGAGTCAACAAGGCGAATAATGTTTTACAATGAACATAAAATTGTGATTGGTGGATAAACAAGACATAGTCATACAAGGTCAAAGAAAGTTGATGCGGTGGTTAGCGTTTCACCTCATCACTGGTGTTTTCGTTTGTCGATCTCACTTTCCAGGTGACTTCCATTTCAATACTAACTAGGAACCAGAAAGGATGGAATAATTTGTTCTACCTCTAATACTGTATAATATCAAAACTTGTAATATAGTTCAATGACGTAGCATTCTCAAACTTTAATATTTTTCTTTGTTACGAAATTTCAGGATGTCCTAGGAACAGGCAAATTACACTTGGTACGAAACCGGAACTGACAGACTTAATAAATCAAGAATTTACAAAAGTCTCCTGCAAGTTGTGAATTACGGCGAGAATAAAAGATATGTGTTCATTTGTTTTCAAAATCTGTTAATGTTTATTTCACTTGTGAGCTACGTCTTGATTTCAGTCAATAAAAATATATGTAGATTCTGTGTATATTTTTCAAATCGCAATATAATTTATTCAAAGGAGAATATAATAACAAACTAACACCGAATGTAGAAATACTGATAACCGAGGAGCGCTGGACAGCTCTTTTGTCTCACTTTTCGGAACTTCTCAACAATCTGTACTAATGTTTACAAACCATATAAGAATTTGTTAGTTTATTATTTTAGCTGCATCAATTTTGAGTCATAAGTTACCATTACTCCAGTTTTATGGGGTTCCCGATGATTGAAAATAGGTATCAAGTTATTCATATCACGGCTTTTGATTATTTACGAGGCATATCTGTGATCGCGAAACGCTACTGTGTGATAGCGTGCTATACATTACTTTACAGGTAAGAAAATTAATCGGTAGTGATAGGGCACATACCTAAATTATATTTTTTTAATGACTGATATCTTTGAAGTTGATAGAATCACTGAGTGAGCAATTCCATTCTGCACTGTCGATGGTACATCGCCTGATGAGTCTAAGAACTTTGATTTACTGAGGTAGTGGAAAAGTGTATGGGTGGTTACCAATAATTATAATCTAATTGAACGCTATATCCGCTTTCCTAAGTTCTAGTAAACTTCAGGCTAAATCTACATAGCAACTTCAACACAAGAGAAAAGGCGCGAAATATGGAGGAAATGCTTTACTCCAAGGTTCGTTAGTGTACAGAAAATCTGGGCTATTTATAATATTTTAGATGACCTTGGGCCTACGGAAAATCCTGGAATGCTACTGAACATAGTAGGCAGTATCGATAATCATCCAATCAGAAACGCGACATGTGACCTCACTTTCTAGGTGTTTCTCGAAAAACTTCTATTTAATGCTGATTGGATGAAGGGTTTCTCGGCGTTTTCAGAGCCATTTTTGCGATGAATTTTCTGGATCTCCCAACATGCAGAATTATTACGAGGATGAAAATGACCCATTAGCTACGTCTTCCGTTCTTATTGTCTGTCCAATTAAGAGTTAGTTCTTATGTGTGTGTGTGCATATTCAGCCAATACATGTAGATTTTGCTAGTCACGGTCTTACTATTGCGATTTGTTGCATGGTAAGAACCGTCAACCAAGAATCGAAGTTTTCTTTGGCAGCCCTACACAAGCTCCCAAATGCGCTGGTACAGCCGAGAGTGGGGAGAGTCATCTCTCCCTCTCGAAATGCTCTCACATGACCACCTGCTTTCTCGTGGCGGGTGTGTTGTTTACAAAATTGAGAGGACGAAAAGCGAATGTCCGGCGCTTTAACCGGGTTGGTGAACACCACGAGTTCACCAAGGGGAGTTTGAAAACTCCAATCCAAACCAATGTTGCACATGGGCTCCAGTATCCTAATGGAACAAATGGCATATGAACCAATCGTTGGTCACCGGCTACCATGAGACTGCATTTCCTCTCGATGCTCCACTGCATTGTGGATCAGACCTTTAGGTCAAGGTGCAGTTACGGGTATGAGGGCTAATATCACTTCCCGGCTGACTACTATAAGCAACTATGCAGGCATGTTCGGGATGGGATTCTCCCCCTCGAAGTGCAAAATGTTACTTCAGGATTGGGTTGCATCGGCATCTGAACTAATGATAGGGAGTGAAGTTGTTCAGCGTGTTGACCGCTCCACTTATCTTGGGGGTCTCATCAGTTCTTGTGGTCTGGTTTGTGACGAAATCTCAGCACGGATACAGAAGGCTCGTCTAGCTTTCGCTAACTTGCGTTATTTATGGCGTACGCGAGATATCCAAAGGACGGGTTGACTGTGCAGCAGTTCGTTCTGTCATACTTTATGGCAGTGAAACATGACCGATAAGAGTAGAGGATATTCGTAGGCTACTAGTGTTCGATCATAGGTGTCTTCGACGCATTGCTCGTATATCCTGGGACCACCGGGTAAGCAATGCAGATGTTAGGAAACGAGTACTAGGTAGGGATGGCAAATCGATTGATGAAGTAGTGAAACTCCATCAGTTGAGATGTCTGGGACACGTGTATCCTATACCCAACCACCGACTGCTCCGACGTGCAATGTTTTATGGTGTAGAAGTAGGTTGGAGGAAAGCTAGGGGCGGCCAGACCTAAACGTGGCACAAAACCATGAAGTCACTAAGAAGTGAACTGAGCCATGCTTGTAGGTGTAGACTACCTGGTTGGGATCCGCGATATGATGGCAATCGATGGTTAGAGACCTTGAATGACATGGCTCAAAATCGTTTGCAATGGTGATGGTGCATCCACTCTTTGTGTTCTACCAAATTCTAATCTGAATTCTTCATGTTTCTATTATTTTCGCTTTTCAAATTTATTTCACTGGATTATACTCCTTCAATAACATCTTCAGACCCTAAACTTTCCGATTACTGCTTATACTCCTACTACTTCTACCACTATGGGATTTGAATCGACAACTGCATCTCTGTGTTAATATGGTATGGCCACCCGAACTGGTGTACGTACGTACAAAGTTCTATGTTGTAACTGACTGACTGACTGTAGTCCGTCGTATGGGTTCTGGATAATGTTGACAATCTCAGGAACTCCATAGTGTCGAAGAAGGTTCCATAATGTTCTCCGGTTCACACTGTCAAACGCCTTCTCATAGTCAATGAAGTTGATGTATAGCGACGAATTCCACTTAACTGATTGTTCAACGATGATCCGTAGTGACGCAATCTGGTCTGTGCACGACCGATCCTTACGGAATCCAGCCTGTTGATCTCGAAGTTCGGCGTCTACTGCGTCTTTCATCCGGTTCAGTAACACTCTGTTGAAAACTTTTCCTGGTACTGACAACAAACTGATGCCTCTGTAATTCTCACATTTGCTCAGATCTCCTTTCTTTGGTATCTTGATGAGGTATCCTTCTTTCCAGTTCGTCGGCCTTTGTTCCTCCTCCCAAATCTTCTTGATAAGGTGAAGCATGTTTGTAGCTACCTCAATGTCTGACTTCAGCACGTCAGCTTGTATATTTTCAGGTCCTGCTGTTTTCCCTCTCTTGATATGTCTGATGGGCATCTTGACTTCTTCGATCGTTGGCGGGGCGACATCTATTGGAAGGTCTGTGTGTGCTGCTTTGATGTCCAGTGGATTTAATGGAGCGGGCCTATTCAGCAGTTCCTCGAAGTATTCTGCCCATCTTTTCCTCTGTTCTTCAGTCTCTGCGATTGTCTTTCCTTCTTTGTCCTTGATTGGTCTCTGGTTCACTATATCTCCCTGCCAGTTTCTTCGTTGTATCATATAGTTGTTTCATATTCCCTTCTCTTGCAGCTTTTTGCGCCATCGTTGCTAGGTTTCCCGTGTATTTCTGCTTGCCGGCTTTAATGCTATTCTTCACTTGCCTGTTTGCTTCTGCTCACTCTACTTGCACCTTGATTTTCTCTGCTCGTGTTCGACTGTTGTTAATTGCTGTCTTCTCGTTCTTCTTTTCTTCAATCTTGTCCAGGGTTCCCATAGAGATCCACTGCTTATGATGATGTTTATTGCGACCCAGAACCTCCTAACACGTTGAAGTTAGTGCTTCTTTGATCCCCTTCCAGTTGTACTGTATCGTAGTTTCTTGTTCTTTCAGTAGATACTGTAAAGCTTGAAACATGTTGTTGAAAGTTATGTTGAATTGGTTGAGCTTGTTAGTATCTCGAAGAAAGGATTATTGAACCTTTGAAATGCTGTTCCCCGATTGTCCAGTGTTTCTTTAGCTTCAGTTTCATCTTGGCCACAACCGGATGGTGATCTGAAGTCATGTCAGTTCCTCACCTAGCTTTCTAATATCATTCGATGGAACGTTCACCATAAACTCCCTTTGATCAAAAAGAATTTTTAACAGTTTTTTTTCTTCTTAGTCACTTTTTTTCATAATAGCTACACGTTGACCTTTATATAAAACTAAACCCTACTATATAAATCGTCTCTCATATTGTTGATGACTTGTGATTCTATGCATTAATTAATACCAAATACAAGCGTGGTATCGACCAGAATTTTGTTATTATGGAGCTTTGATTGTATATGCTGGCAAGCACTCGTTAGTATTAGCATTAACAACCGAAATCGGGACAGACTCACCTGATTCCTGGTTTTGTATACAATCATCATGTCGGTTGTGTAGTAAAACCACTGATGTTTAGAATTCGCATCATAGACTTTCCAACATAATCCTTCGCCACGAAATAATGTTGAGTCTTAACGTCGCAAAGTCATAACCAATTTGACGTTCCCAATTCGCATTATCTTCCCAAATCTCACGCGTTAATTACTGTATGTGGGTATTTAGGGATACACACTGATATATAATTTGAGGTATTCCATCATGTGATTTTGATTTGCATAGAAATCATGAAGCATATTATCTTTGTTATTCATATTACAATACACAGATGAATATGCATTGATATGTGTAATTAACACATGTGATTAATCTAGGCTTGATTTATCTGCGAAACAATCGAATGGAAAACATGCATCCGCCTCATACTCATTAAAATAATCTTGGAAATGGTTTGGATTCTCTGTCTGTGCAAACTCCATATCTGGGCAAACTGGTTCTCTGATTGACTAAGGACAACTGGCTATTCTCTCTCGTTGATCATACGACGGAACAGGGATCCTACTGAACATACAATGTCAACTAGCCTCATTCACACGAAACCCATTGTGAAACACACTGAATCAACCGTGTGAGTGAGCGATTGACTGACTGAGTAACTGAATGCCTGACTGATTGACTGTGAATGGATCTGTGTTTGTTTGATTGTGTGTTGCAGAATTATGACGATTCGATTGGTGTTTGTGATCAGGTGTCTTGCACCCACCCAACACATCCGACCACCATTCTGTTGTGCAACTGATATTAGCCCCGTGTGTAGGGCTGCCAAAGAAAACTTCGATTCTTGGTCGACGGTTCTTACCATGCAACAAATCACAAGAGTAAAACCGTGACGGTTAGCCCGACCAATTC